ACTTTTCTGCCTCCATCGGAAATGCAACTGCCGCAGCCGGGATTCGATCCCGTGACCTGCCAGTCAGCAGTCGAGTACCTTAGCCACTAGACCATCGCGGCGGCGCAAGCTGCTGTAAAGGTACCTCTAATAAGTACTAGCCTTCACGAAGCAGCGACCATCAGCATTTTCGGATAAACATCACCTTCTATCCAAAACACCTGGTAAAACCTTTACGGAAAGCAAGCACTCACCAGCATCGGTACTAGGAAAGAACACCTCCGAATCCAATAGAATCCCACCGCTACCAACCAGTTGATGTGACCGAGGAGCGCAGCACAGGCATTGACCTAGGCGTCGAAAAGGAAGAACTCTTGCGAGCCTTGTTGCTCACACAAAGAACACACGATTTATTTGCGTATTTACACGGGTAAAGCACACTAAGTGTAGAGACACGCCTTTACACAAGACACGACTGGCCGTAATGAAGGCCACAGAGAGAGGACCCGACGCACACGCAACGCTTCTTTTATATCCCTCGGTTCGTGCATGCACTTCTTGTCAAATGCTGACTGCGTGCCCAGTGACGTCGATGCGCATTGCCTGCAGTGCACACATACACCGCTCGCGTTCCTGCAGGTCGCGAACCGCATTTGGATGGTACGTCGATGAGCGTCTTTTGCGGGCCGGATCCTTGTATTGCCAGTCATGACAGCCTGTTAAACTACAGGAGTCTCGCTTTTCGCCAGAAAAGTCTGAACCAAGTGTGAGGAATGTGCAGGAGCATTGCCGTGATGCATGTGCCAGTTTCCAGTTGACCACAACTCGGGTCTCTCGCACCGCACATCACGTAGGCGACAGAGGACATCCTTGTAGTACTTTTTGGTGGTTGTTTGACCCAGTGGTGCGTATTCGTGGTGTACTACGCCACAGGAGTCAAAGAAATCACTCAGCATCACTTTGACGTTGCTGCACACTTGGTGGGCCTTCTTTAATGTTGGTGACATGGAATGCTTCCACTGTGGCGACTGCGATTTGGTTTCCGGGTCGTACCTGTACACTCAAGACTCTTCACCAGTGATAATGGTGTTCATGAAGTTAGGGTCACTGCTTGTGAAATCCAGCATGTCCTGTGAGACTTCAACACGAAGTTGCTTTTGCTCCACAATTTCGCCATAACTTTCTTCATGACAAAACCTTCAGTCATAATGGAATGTGCAGAGAAAGTGCTGATGCCCACATCATCCGCAATTTCTCAGATAGTCACACCATGGTCCCACATCACCACATTGTTCACTTTGGCAATGACTTGGTCATTTTCACATGTTGATGGCCAACAGGAGCGTGGCTCGCTCTCCACCGATGTGCGGCCGTCTTTAAACCGGTTGTACCACTCCTTAATCTATATGCGGCTCATAGTGTCATAACCAAAAGCCCTCTTGAACTTTCCAATGGTTTCCACAAGGCTGTCGCCCAGTTTCTGGCAAAATTCGATGCAGTAGCGCTGCTCCAGTTGCTTCGTCATTTTGCTTGCAATGAAAAAAACCGACGAGAGCACTGCACACTACCTTACTCAAATGCTACGTTTCAGCGACTGAGGCTCTCCGCAGGTGGGAAAAAAATTCACTCATGCACACGAAAAATAAGGTTGGATACTTTCCTGACAGACATCGTAAATGTGCATGTTCCTAGGAACACCATCATGCTCTTGTGCAGCCGCTCAAAAAAAGCAAATTTCTCACTAATGCACCTATCTTCCAATTGTCAAGTACTACGCGCTTTTATAATAAATGACATCGTTTCAATTCTACTTCTTGCGGTTATGATGTACTCTTCGAAAATACATTCACAATCTCTGCAACAAATGGCTAACCAAGCATCTGTCTGGTTTTTAACGTTATTCGTCTGTTTGTCCAGCCAGTCGTTAATGCAATGACCTGATTGCCCTACATATTAGCACTTGAAATTTAAAGGTATGCAGTACACAATGCGTTCGTGGCATGCAACAAACTTGGTGCAATATTGCTTACTATAACACTTCTCTGCTTTTCTTATAAGTCATTTTGCTTAGCTTAGCCAGTTTATAGGGGGTGGAGAATAACTTTAATATAGGACTGTTCGGTTACCTTGTTTAAATAAGTTGTGCCAAATTTTGTGAATTTGTCAGGATGACTTTCCACAGGTGCTTTTTTAACAATAACAGTATGTTTTTCTTACAATAACAATAACAATAATTTCTGAAGATCATTGAAACTTTATGTATCTTTTTTTTAAAAACTTTCTGATCAATTTGCAATGAAGATCTTGTCAGAATATACTTAAATGCTTTCCTAATCTTCTAAACCTAAAACTGAAACACTGTCTGAATGATCACTAAGAAAAAGGAAATAAACTGGAAAGTCTCTTTTATGGCACGGGAAATATGAGGACAATATTTGTTTTCTTAATTTTTAAATGTAAGAACCTGTTGTAAAGCTACAGGTTGATGTTGCTGCCATGTGGAATCAGTGTGCCAATTTTCTTGGTTGTACTGTTTTCTTCTTCTGAGAAAAGCTAATTTAATTTGACATATTAGAAAAACTAAGGGCTGAGCTGATTGGTATGTATTGTGAAGACTTAAGAAAAACGCCAATGTTCGGGTGTGCGGGCAAGCAGAGCGAGGTAGAAGAGAAAGACGAAGCAAATTAGAATAACCGGCTCATGGCAAGGTTGCTGTCTCTGGCTTCTTCCTTTACAGTGTTCATTCTAAAAGTCTTTTCAGGTTAGTTTTGCACCCCAGTATAAAATTTGATACCTAAAAACTAAATAGTACAAGAGGTACAGGACCTTAATCAGACAAAGTGCAAGCCAGAAGCCCTTTTATTAACCCTGCAAAATTTCAGGACACTATTCGGTAAGGTTCTTGAGATATAAAGCTGAAATCAAGATCACCCATTTACTCTACCTCACCTCTTAAAGGTACATAAGAGGCAGATTATAATTTATGTCAGAGTGAAAGGTCAATGTTTAGGAATGTCTAAAATTTCAATAGTATCAATAGCAGTGTTGTAATAATAGAGAAATTAAGGTAAATGTACGACACCGTATGCTACCGGTGACATAAAAGTCCCCGACAAATGATACCAGTGACGTCAAAGTCCCCGACTACAATTATTCACTGCTAATCAAACCAGCTGCTGCAAAAAGAGAACCTTCTATGCATTATAAAACGTCATAACTGCTTCAGACGCGAATTATGATCTACAGTCTGCAAATGTGTATGACATGATTCTTAGGCACTCAGACAACAAAACAATGAAAGAATGTTTTCTTTTAAGCGAGTTTCAATAATTAATGTCTATTAGCTTACAATTAGATGTCTGATTATCACTTAATTGGTCAGTATCAGTTTTTGCATAAAAAGAATGAAACATTAAATCCAGGTGCAAGCACGGTCTGTATTTTGGCTGTATTCATTTCATGCAACGAAAAAAATAAATACTCTTGACGTAGGTCCTAGAACACGGCACGTCAACTGGTCGGCGAACATGGTAGTGTCGCCAGCATAGTGATCCTCTGCGGCATGACCAGTATTTTTCCGCTCAGAAACCTGCATAAATGTGCACAACGCGTTTCAAGCCACTTGAATAAACTCACGGTGCATGACATGCCTCTAAGTTTGATGTGTGCAACTGTACACACAGTCGCTGAAGCATAAAATGGTGTTTGTCTGTTGCTGTTTAACTTATATAAAAAAGAACTGCCTGGTGTTATTATGAAAAGTGGTGCGAGTGATTCAAAATTTTCATTTTCGCCTGGTTAGGCTAGATAGGTGGTGCAATTTAGTGGGGCCCACTTGAAGCAAGCTAGCAGAAAGACGCACTAGGCCCGATCACGGGCTTAACGACTAAAGATGGTCTATGCATGAACATTACGGTAGTGTACTACACGCAGGGTAATCATTAACTCTGAGTGTTTCGTGGATGTTCAGGCAATTATGTGGGGAATCGTGTGCAACCACTACAGAACACCATTTGCCAGCCATTGCACGCAGCCTACAACGAACTGAAATTTGCACGCCGAACCAAGGCAACGTATGATAAGCAACACTTGATCGTTGAGTGTTGAACCGCAGATGATGTGGTGGTACTTCGGGTTTGTCACTTCTGTCGGTTTTATGTAAATGTTGGCACACACAATGTTGTCAGTAATTGTGGGAAGCCGGTAGGGAGGGTAGGGGTCAATTTATTAACTTAACTTTTAAAGAATTCGCATATCTCTTCAGGCTGTAATAGGGCACAAATGATGGAAACGTGCCAAGGAACGCACCCAGCGAATTTTATTGAGATCTATTGACCTTGAAAAATTGCTGGGGTTGGCCTTTATTGATGAGAGGGCTGATTATTTATTAGAGTAAAAATGCGTATAATCATTCAGAGCAATTCAAATGGAATTAAAGCTTCAAATAATGGCACCTGAATGAGTGTTAGTGTTGTGTAGCCTTGCAAAGTGCACTTTCACAGGTGTGTGGCTTTCTATATGAAAATGTTTGTGTTAAAGGTGTGCATGGGCTCCGGGTAGCCCGAGAACAAGAGCCTGGCCTGGCCCACCGGCCGATCTCGGATAGATCAACACCTTGTCATCTCGGGCTTGGCAACTTTTTTTTTCTATTCTGTCGCTTGGGTTGGCCTGAATCAAGCCCAAAACATAGACATTGTGCTGGTATTGTTTTCCCCCACATAGTGCCTTCTTTGCGACTGCCATGTTTTATTTGTTTAATGTTTTGCTTTGATATGTGTATTAAAATGCTCGCACATTATTGTAAAACAGTCTCTTAATTGTATACAGAGTAAACGATCATAATGGTGGGCCGGAACGAGTGGGGCCTTGGCTTTCGTTTTTGTATGTGGAGCAGCAGCACTTCTTCGTCGGGTTCTGGTGGGCCTTCGATGCAGTCAGCGGGCCTTCCATGCAGTGCCCGCGCTCAGAAATGGGGCCTGTTCACAGCTCTAATTTGTGCTTACCCTGAACAATCCTCGCAGATGGTAAAGAACCTCGCCAAGCAAGTGCAAGAGCTTCAAAAGCAAGTAGACATAGTGAAATCACAAAGCATCACAGCTAAAGAAGCAGCAGTTCAGCAACTTAGAATGCAACTTCACAATGAAAAAAAGGAGGTGGGTGGCTGATGTTTTGCTATTTGATGTGGCTTAATAAGCATATAATTCAAACATTCTATTGTGTAGTAAATCAGCACTACATAAGGCTGCAGGTGGAGGCAGGCAAAACATGTTATCAAGTTGTCATTTGTTCAAGTTTAGCTCAAAGCTACCAGGAAATCAATCTGGAATTATTAGTTACGAAAGTGTGGTATGTGAACAGAATTCAACCTGGTAGGCAATTCATTGGTGCGGAGGTTCGAAGTTAGGAATTTGTTGTGTACTGCAGGCCTGGCCCAGCAATATTAGGCGAAACCTTAGGGTTTTGCCGTACTGCGGTGGTCTAGTGGCAAAAGTACTCGGCTGCTGACCCGCAGGTCGCGGGATCGAACCCCAGCTGGGGCGGCGGCATTTTTGATGGAGGCGAAAATGCTGTAGGCCTGCGTGCTCAGATTTGGTTGCATGTTAAAATTTCGAAATTTCTAGAGCCCTCCACTACAGTGTCTCTCATAATCACATGGCGGTTTCGGGACGTTAAACACCGCATATGAAATCAACCTAAGGGTCTTAGCTTGTCATCGTTTGTTTTCACGGTGTGTCATCTATTCACGATCTGTCATACTCCCACTACTTGCTACTAGCCCACTAAATATGAAGAAAGCAACAGTTAACCCCTACAGATGGTAGACTTCTTTCCTCCTTGAATTTCTGCGTGTGTGACTTTCAGCTTGCTCGTCAGGACTAGAGAAAACGTTCTAAGAGCACCTGACAGAGGGATGACCGCCATTGTAGCTTAGTGGTAGAGCATTGGATGCATTATTTAAATGTCGCAGGTTCAGATCCTGCGGGTGTCAAGTTATCTTTTCGCCTATCTTTCTTTCTTCTTAGCTACATTTTAATCCTAATAACATCCCGTTACTTCTCTTGGCATTATTGTCTGTTAGTTCTCATCAATATTGTGTCTAACAAAGAAAACGAGCCCATAAGTGTACACTTGTTTTCTTCATTCATAGCAAGGGTCTTGTTCTGGCATACTTGATGCCTTCAGGTGATATGGAAAGGATTATTGGTCAGCATCCAGCTCGTAACATAAGATCAGGTGATGCCAAAAGCAAAAAGAGCATTCCACACTCACCGCAGGGGCAACAGGCGGTGCTGACTGATGCTCCCATGTTTAAGTGCACATATATACCGTTTAATGTGGAATATAGGTCGAGACAGAATGTAGGTCGACCCCCTTCCCTTGACCGGCAAAAAAAGAAAAGCCCGGGATTTTTCACTCATTCACTTTATTCAGTCCTCCGAGCTTTTGGAGCTCTCTTCCAAGGACGACTGCTTTTCACTATCTGCCTCCCATAACATGACGTCCTTGGTGCCGTAGAGAGCATTGCTGATGCAGCACTTCTTAAATGCGCGCACCGCCATTTCCTCAGGCAGAGACTCAACCACAAACTGTCGCGAGTGGTGGCCTGCGCAGCCTTCCTGTCGGGGTCCGCAGGTTGTCACCAGCCATTCATTCAGTGTACAACGCACGCACACGATCTTTGAAACGTCTTGTTAAGGACAGCATCAAGCGGTTACAGTGTTGACGTCATCCCTCTTGGAATGACGACAAGCTTGGTCTTCCCGTCGTGGAGTCTTTCCTTCACTAACCCTTTCCTCTAGAAAGATGCCTGCAGCTTCGCACACTTTTTTATAAGGACGGGAGGTTTCTCATAGTTAATTGCTTCCTCCGCAAGGATCGCTCGCAGCCAACACCACTACTTCCGCTTAATTCGGAAGTGTCGCCATCACAGAGACATAACTGTGTTGCCTCCGATACAGCAGTAGGCATTGCTTTATTCTCGAGGCGGCAAGGTTTAAAGCGGCTGCCGCAGCAAGAGCTCACAGCTGACACTGTTTGGGTGAAGCGGAGGAAGAGAGAACAGGAGATGGCCGGGAGCCAGCTCTTCGGCTCAAGCCACAGGCATCTTTCCAGAGGAGCCTTGCTGCCGCCAGAGCCTATTGACGTAGAGTTGAAACTTTATCGATTTGTCCTTGTACTTCTCGGGCAGCTTCTGGCAGATTCACGTGCACTGTCAAAGGGCAAATCCTTTGCGTCGCATGAAGTGGCGGACCCAATAAATGGACCCCTTGAAATCTCCCCACGACACACTGGCTTTACAGGCGAGCTCGGCGGCTTTGTGCGAGTGAGCTCTGCATTCACAGGCAGGGACGTGGCACAGTATTCACGCACGAAATCTGCCCTTTTGTTTTTGAGTTCCAGGTGCACAGCTCAGCGTTACATACCGACAGTTTGGATTTTCGGTTCCGCCAGTCCCTAACGCTTTTCTCGGACACTCCAAACTGTGGCTGTGCTTCCAGCAATTCAATAACTTTTCTTTAAACACTGCAGTGAAGTGGCGCCGCATCCTGCTATTCATAGCTGGCTGTAGAGCAAGGTAGCCACTCGCTAGGAGCACTGAAAGAACCGGAAAAGAAAAATGGCATCGGCAGAGAGCCCGTAAAGCTTGGAGGAAGGAAAGGTAGGAGAGGGCGTGCCCAGCCGGCGCAGGGCGTAAAAATTGGGGCGGAAATTACGTCACAGCGGCTATATTCACTGGGCACAATGGCGGCATTTTGTTATTGGTAATGTAGTGCGGTGCGGCACCATTTAGGCGGTCCAGTGGCGGTGTGCGCGTTTTCATGGGCCTCGCCAAACCGTTGCGTACTGCAGGTGTTTGACAGCACCTATTCTTTGTGCCGCATTGTTAGCTACGCGATTTTCTTCCGGTGGTTGTTGTAACCAGGTGTCTGAACTAGAAACCAGGGAACGAGCGCGTGTATACGTACTACAAGTTTGCAGCGTCCGTCAAAAGTATGCTGAAAAGCCATCATAGAAGATAACGACTGTGCTCAAGAATTTGTTCAATGAATGCCTTGCAGGTTAGTGACAGTTATGTGGTGTTGCTTCTTATGACTACGGACGATGTATTTGCGGTCCACAGGCCCTTATTAAGACTGTAATCTAATCTTGCTTTTCATGTTCCTGTACAGTACAGTTACCACATGCTTCTGCGCATTAAAGTTCCTGTTCTTCTCCGCTTAAGATGCTCGACGATTTTTATCCTTGTGTCTACTAGCCCACAGCCTGACCGAAAATTTTATAAAACCTAAAAAGAAGTGCAAAAGGGATAAAAAGTGATCTGAAAGAAGCTGTACAAATTTCGGTGCCTGGTTCGTCGCGTGGCAATGTCCGAAATATCATCTTTATTTTCACAAAAAACACATCAAATAAAAAAAAAGCTTAACGTGCAACTTGCCGTGTTTATCATAAACGCCGGCAGTGCAAGAGTACCACACCCATACGCAGAGATTTCGTCAACCGTATCGCGGCAGGACAGCGTGCTGAAATCTGTTTCGTTGGTTTCGGATAGCACCGGCGCACGCGGGGCGGGCGCAGGCCACGTGCTTTTTGAGACAGAAAGGGAGTCGCACCTTCTGCTTCGCATTCGTATGTTAACAAGAGAAGAGAATTTGCCCAGTCAATATGGCCGACTTTTGGCTTCATCGCGGCTTCACGACCAGTGACGTCAGGGCCTTTCCTACCTTTCCTTCCTCCGTGCCGTAAAGTGTTGGCCCATGGAGGCGATGTCGATGCTGATGCCCAAGAAACATGCGACGCTCCTTGTTGCCATACGTTCACTCGGTTTATGCCAAGGGCCGGTATATAGGTCGAAGGGTGACTTTGTAGTGACATTTTTTTTAACTCTTGACCTATATGCCGCGCTATACAGTATGCTATAAAGTAAACAAGGAATGACCGCCACCGTGGCTCAGTGGTAGAGCATTGGACGTGTTATTCCAAGGTCGCAGGTTCAGATCCTGCCAGTGGCTAGTTATCGTTTGGTTTATTTTTGTTTCTTCAGATTTAAATATAAGTTTTTATAAAGTCTCTTTACGTCTCTTGGCATCATTGTTTGTTAGTTCTCATTAATATTGTATTTAACAAAGAGAACGAGCCCTTAAGGGGGGACAAAAAACTTTTTTTTTATTGAGTTTTTGAAATTTACAGCTATCAGTACACTTATAACGTGAATTTCATGCCTATAATATCATTATTTTAGCCACTAAGACCCTTTGTACGGCGCTTTCTAGCTAAATCTGAGCCGAAATCGACGTTGAAATCGCACATTTTCCGTGACGGGCCCCTGCCCTTTTATGTGTGCCAGCACGGCCCGCTTGGTCTCATTTGAGAGAGCCGTTTTTCGCCCTCAGATTCCCGCCAGAATGGGTCCAAATCAACCATTGGCAGCTTGTAAAATGAGCGGCAAAAGGAAGTATTGAAGCGCCTTCCTTTTTGCTACTTCACGCACGTGACTTGAGCTTGCCTCCCTATTGATGGAGGCTCCTGGCTTCATCTGCTCCGGGTACTGAGGCGCGCGTCCATGCGCGCCATTTTGCCTCAGTGTCAGCGGAGAAGTTTCACGATGTCAAATCCTGAGCGGGAATTCCACACGCGGCACAAGTTTGGTGCGAAAAAGGTGCGAAGAACGCTAGTCGTGAATTTCAAGAAGCGCTCCGTGATACAGAAAAACCCCTGAGACGCTACACTCTCTGCGTGCCATGGCGAAGTCGTCGACGCTACCACTTAAGGCCTAGGTTCCGCATCAATTGTCACGGAGCCTGTGCAAAGTCCGTCAGCCGCGGAGCCTTCGAGCAGCGGCCGCGTGCGTCTAGATACTATCTATCGGCAGCAATCTGACTTGGAAAAGGAGCGAGCTAAAGCCGAAGATAAGTTATCGGAGTTCTCATCCGCTGCAGCGACGGAGCGGAAACGCACATTTGTGGTTGACGGTGCCGACGAAGCAGCCCGACCGCCTGATGGAACCACGTTCACAATTATAGATTTGGACTCGGTGAACAGCGCTTTGTTGGCATTTGCAAAGTACAAGGCATGCAACGGAGAACTGCAGATTGTCCGCACAGTCCGAGAATTTGGACTCGCCGTGAAGTTGCGTTTTGTGTGTTCGACCTGT